CTATCCCCTCTGACCCTGGCCTGGAAGAGCTTTGGAAGCTCTGCTCCACCTCCCTTTCAACCATGAGTGCATGTTTCTCACTCCTCCTGGGAGTTGGGGACAAATGACCTCTCCCATTTCCTGTCTGCAGATGGGGGTGTTATTCCTTTTTTTTGGTTGGGGCTTTGCTGGATAGCTCAGTTGTTTAAAGCACCGCTTGGGTAAATGCAGGCACACGCATAGGACCGTGGTTTGATTCCCAGCTCCAGAAGCTGCACCAGACCTGCCCTTAAGGCAGCCTGAAGTAGGAAAAAAAAATTCCTTTTTTTTATTTTATTTATTTTTTGTCTTTTTGAATTAGGGTCTTACTATGCAGCTTAGGTGGGCCTTGATCTCATTTTGTAGCCCAGGTTGGTCTCAACTCCCAGTGACCCTCCTGCCTCAGTCTCCCAAGTGCTGGGATTATAGGTGTATACCACCACGCCTGGTGTGGAGGTGTTATTCCTTTGGCTGAACTACTTTGCCCTATGGAGATGTTCCCCCAGGGCACAGGGCCCATTACAGGCCACCAAGTCAATCCCTGCTGCTAGGACCCTGAGAGGCAACAGACTCTTGGGAGGGACAGGGGAGGACCCTAGTTACACTGTGACAGAGAGCTGCAGGCAGAGCCTCCCTATGGGATCAGATACTCCCAGCATCACCAGCCCTTTGATGCTACATTTCAGCCTAGCTGCTGCTGGGATGAAAGACAAGGAGATGGAGCAAAACTATGAACCTGTGACCTTCTCTCAGGGCAGACACAGACCCTCAAGACTCCTTTGGGTCAGGAGATTGAGCTGGGCTTGGGTTCTGTGCAAGATACGATGTGTCAACCGGGCATGGAGACAAATACCTATAATCTCAACACTCCAGCAGACAGGCAGAAGGGTTGTAAATTCAAGCCCAGCTTGAGTAATGTAGTAATTTAGACATAGATCATTGCGAAGGTTCAGTCCTCAATTCCACAAAACAAACACACAAACAGACACACTATGTCCATCCCCAGATGCACGCTCCTGCATGCTCCAGTCCCAGGAGAGGAACTGCAGCGACTGGTCTTCCGCATCTAGCTAGGCAAGAGGAAGTGGGGTCTACCTCCACGATCCAGTTCATCCAGTGGGGCCAGGCTGGGACAATGGCTTCAGGCTTCACCCAAGGCCTGTACCTGCCAGAGACCATGGCCCTTCTGGGCTCCCTTGGCCTCCCCCTCCTCATTACTCACTGCCCTTCCCTTGACCTCATTACACCCCATTCACCTTCTCAGAACTGCTATGTGCACCCCTCGCTCAGTCTGTGGCTCCAGCCCTAGTGGCAGTGCCCTTTCCTGTGCCTGCCCCACCCTCTCGTCCAGCCTCCTCTCTCCGCTGTGTGCCATCTGTCTTCCAGAGACACAACAAAGTTGTGGGGGCCACCTGGCTCTGTGGGCCTCATGGAGGTACAGCTCTAAGTTCAATCTCTACTTCAGAGACATACAGGACAGACAAACTGAGGAGTGAATAGAAGGAAAAAGTTGCTGTAAGAGTACAGTGGATGGGGCAGTCACCAGGAAGACCCTGGTCTCAAAGAAACACTCAGAGGCCCAACAGACAGGACCAGAGCACAGGGCTACTTGCAGGCTGGGTCCCTAGAGAGCGGGTGGTGGTCCTGTTGTTGGAGATGGCTAGTCGATGTTGTCTTGAGGGTGACAGGATGATACCATGGGTGTTCCTTGCCATCCAGTATATCCAGGTGGGTTTGGCCAGGAAGTAGGGAGGCAGTGAGCTCCCAAGATCCTGACAGAGATGGAAGGACAGACAGAGACAGCAGAATTGAGACCATCCCTCCAGCCCCAGCCCCACGGGTGCTGATGCTGCTGGCCCACCATTGCCAGTCCAACTCCTTCAAAACCCGACCTCCTCCCTGGGAAAGAGTTGGGGAGACGGAATCCCAAGGTCCCTCCTAGTCTCCTCTGGGGGCCTGGGCTTGATCACATCAGAAAATCGGAAGCTGGGCGGGTAGCGCGGGTGGGCCAGCCCTACCCGGGTCTGCGCCCGCGATCCGGCGCGCGGGTTGGGTTATTAATACCCGGCTGGTGCACGGCTGCGCATTCCCAGCTGGCGCGGGGCTCGGGGCACTCGGGCGCCGGCCGGGAGGCGGAGCAGACGGCGCAGACGGCGATGTCTGGGTGAGCGCGGGGCGAGGTGAGCTTGGGGCCCGCACAGCACGCGGCCGTGGGAAGTGGGAGCAGCCAGGGGCCTCGGGACTGGGACACCGCATCGCCCTTGGCTGAACTGTAGCTGGGGCTCGGGAACCGCGGGTGGCTGGGGGATCCTGCTCCCTGCCTCCTTCGCGGTGCATAGATGCAGGAACTGTCGCCTGGAGAGTCTCTGGGTAGGGGCCAGGGCCAGGGCGCTCTCAGCCCAGCCCAGAGCGCAGTTCCCTCCTCATGGTACCCTGAATTTACCCTGTTACTAGGTTGGCTACGCAGGGAAACTGTGCTGGAGTGGGGAGACAGGGGCTTCTCCATTTCTAAGAATTTCCCCTTCCTTCTGTGTGTGTGTGTGTGTGTGTGTGTGTGTGTGTTTGTGCCCCTTTTTTGTGGCAGTGGGGAATCAAGACTCAGCTATGTCCCAGTCTTTTTTTTTTTTTTTTTTTTTAATTTTGAGGCAAGATCTAGCTAAGTCTCCAGTCACCCAGGCTAAGCTGGAACCTGTGATCTAGCCGCAGCCTCCCAGAGTGCTGGGATTACTAATGTGCACCACCTGGCCACAGCTCAGAGGTTTGTTTTTTGAGACAGGATCTTCATAAATTAAGATGACATTCTTAATTTATGTAGCCTAGGTTGGCCTTGAACTCACCATGTAGTCCAGGCTGGCCTCAAGCTCTCAATGATCCTCCTGCCTCAGTCTCCCCAGTGGTGAGATTACAGGTGTACGTTACCACACCTGGCAACTCTGAGTGACCACTCCCAGAACTAGGCCGGCACAGCTCTGGGCCCCAGAGGGCTTGTCTTGCCCCAGGGGCAGTGGATCACCCTGGGCTGATACTGCTCTGACCCCCACTGTCCCGGGCAACATTGTGAGCTCTCTGAGCTTGATGACCTTTACTCAAGGTGGCATTATGAGTTTCACCCTCTTTGTTGACTGCAGCAATAATCCCATCTTCTTCATTGCTGTGGAGTATTTTTATGGAGAAATTAGTTTGCTTATCCATGCTACTGTGTATGGACCTTTGGGTCACTTCCCAGTCATTATTAAAGTTTCTGGGGGCTGGGGAGATAGCTCAGTAGAATAAGCACCTGTCTGGCAAGCGCAGGGTCCTGAGTTCAATTCCCAGTACCAAATAAAAAAATAAATAAATAAAATTGCACTAGGAATTAAATATCTTGGGCCAGTTTCTCCTGCAAGTACCACCCTGTAAAGTTGCTGAAAACATTCTCATTTTTATCATGTTGTGGACATTTGCAGTCATTTCTTTTGGGTAGAAACCTAAGAATGGAATTGCTAGTGAGGCAGTATGTACCTGTTTGCCAAGTTGTTTTGAGGCCACTACAGCATTTTACAATCCCAGCCACAGTAATCAAGAGTTCCAGTTCCTCCACATCCTCCTGATGCCCAGTCCTGGGGGTGACCTGGTCATGTCCCTCCTGGTGCTGTGAAATGGAGTCTTGTGTGCTTTGGATTTTCACTTCTCTAGCGATGCCCATGCTGAGCATCTTTTCATGTCATGGAGGCCTTTGCGTCTGTGTCTAAGACTTTCTTTTTCAACAAGTACTGTTTAGACTTTTGCCTCTCCCTCAAACTGGTTGCTAGTCTTAATTGATTTATGGTTCTTTACATATTTCAGTTACTAGTTTTTGGTCTGATATATGTCTTCTGGTACTCTGCCAGCTTTTGGCTTATATTTTTATTTTCTTAATGAAATTCTTAATTTAAATGAAGTTTTTTTTTTTTTTAAAGAAATCTTTTTCTACCAAAGGCCAGGCAAATATTCTCCTGTTTTCTTCCAGAAGCTGGATTGATTGATCTGTTTAACCTTCTACCTGCAGATTCACCACACACTGTGGTGTGGGGGTGAGAGGCAAGGATTCAGGCTCATTCTCCTCTTTGGATGACTACTATGTATCTTTTGATTAATGGAGGTAACAAAGGCTTTCTCCCTTTACCTCACATATTTTTCTATTTGTACTTTGAAGTAACCAACACTACTTTTATTTCTTTTTTGTTATTGCATTATTTTTTCCCATAATTTTATTGAGAAACAAACAGCAATGAGACAGTTTCAAACCAAATTGGTAGGACAGTTTCAATAACTAACACATTGCGTACATTCTTCCTAGTGCCAACACTACTTTTAGAAGTTAACATTAGTTAGAAGAAAACTTTTTTAATGTTCACATTAAATAAAATGAAAGAAAAGACTCTTGGGTAAGCAGGACTCAAGCTGTTGCTGATCTCTGGCCTAAGAGGGCTATATTGCTGTGTTTTGCTTTTCAGGAAAGTTCAGTCAACAAACCCGTAATTCCAGCACTCTGAGAAACTGAGGCAGGAGAATGACAAGATTGAGCCCCACTTGGGTGACAATTTGATGACTTGGCAAGATCCTGTCTCAAAAGGGAGGGTGGTAGTAGAGGAGGCTGGGAATGTAGTTCAGTGGAAAGGTATTGGTCCACTTCCTACTACTGGAAAAAACAAAAAACAACTCAGTCAACCTCAGAGGCATTGAGGCCTGGACTGGGGTCCTGCTGGAGCAGGCCCGGAAACAGTGGGAAACGTGCAGATGGTTCTTGGGAATTCCTGGTAGCTGGGAAGGTGGAGCAAAGGGGCTGTCTCAGTCCTGACAGGGCTAGAAGTAAGCCCTGCCCTTCTGTGGCAGGCAGCAGCCCCTAGGAGCTCCACTGTCAAGGAGGCCTTTGGGTAGAGAAGGGATGCCACTTTGCCCCTCAGATGGGCATCTCCTCCACAGGACAAGCCATTGCCCATAGATCTCTGTCCTCCAGGAGCAGCACCAGCAGCCCACGGCCCAGTGTGAGGCAGCGATGGAGCTGAGCCCGGAGCCCATGACTGGCTTACCTCTGCTGGCTGTGACAGGTAGCCCTGGGCCAGAGCTGCCTGGTGGCCCCAACAGATCCTTCAACAGTTCCTGGGCCAGTCCAACAGAGCCCAGCTCCCTACAGGACCTGGTGGCTGTCGGGGTTCTGGGGGCCGTGCTTTCAGCCATGGGTATCTTGGGCGTGGCGGGCAACGTGTATACTCTAGTGGTCGTGTGCCGCTTCCTCCGGGCCTCAGCCTCCATGTATGTCTACGTGGTCAACCTGGCACTGGCTGACCTGCTTTACCTGCTCAGCATCCCCTTCATTGTGGCTACCTACATCACCAAGGACTGGCGCTTCGGCGATGTGGGCTGCCGAGTCCTCTTCAGCCTGGACTTCCTGACCATGCATGCCAGCATCTTCACACTCACTGTCATGAGCAGCGAGCGTTATGCAGCGGTGCTCAGGCCTCTGGACACTGCGCGGCGCTCAAAAGGCTACCGCAAGCTGCTTGCACTGGGCACCTGGCTGCTGGCCTTGCTGCTCACCCTGCCTATGATGCTGGTCATCCGGCTGGTGTCCCGGGGCCCCAAGCACCTCTGCCTGCCTGCCTGGGGTCCACGTGCCCACCGTGCCTACCTGACAATGCTCTTTGGGACAAGCATTGTGGGACCAGGCCTGGTCATCGGGCTGCTGTATGTGCGCCTGGCCCGTGCCTACTGGCGGTCGCAGCAGGTCTCCTTCAAGCAGACACGCCGGCTGCCCAGCCCAAGGGTGCTCTACCTCATCCTGAGCATTGTGCTGCTCTTCTGGGCCTGCTTCCTGCCCTTCTGGCTGTGGCAGCTGCTGGCCCAGTACCTCGAGGCCCTTCCCCTTGCACCTCGTACTGTGCGCATAGTCAACTACCTGACCACTTGCCTCACCTACGGAAACAGCTGCGTGAACCCCTTCCTCTACACTCTGCTCTCCCAGAACTTCCGAGAGCATCAGCGCCGCCGCCTGCATGCACCGGGGAGCAGCAGTGGCTATGGACGTGCAGGCACTGCCAGCTTTGGGCCCAGCCGGACCCACACTCACTGCGACTCAAGCCGCTCGCTGTCCTCCAGCAGCCACCAGGCCACCGAGACCCTCCTGCTGTCTCCAGCTCCAGGAAGGGCCTGTGTCTGAACCCCTGGAGACAGTGTGAGATTGGAGTATGAGAGGCCAGGCTGGGAAGCCTAGGTCACAGCAGAACTACTCCTGGCCCTGCCTCCTCTGAGTCCATTTCCCAAAAGCCCCTGCTACTCTCCTTGTCACTTTCTTCTGCTCCATCAGTTCCTCCTCATGATGACAGTGCCCCATGAACAGGCTACCTCCAGAGCCTTCAGGGGACTCCTGCCCAGACCTGACTTCTGCAGACAGTGAGCTAAGCCCTCCTCACCATTCCCTGGCCTCTCACCCGGAACACAGGACACCAGCACCTGCCATGCACCTGCCGTGCCCACCTATCCTACCCACCTGCCCCATCTGGCTTCTGTGGCTCTATCCTCCTCCTTAAGCACTTGAACCAACAAATCCACAGGAAGAAAGGGTGTCCTGGGCCTGGGAGGGATCCCACAGCAAGCAGGAGAGTCTATCTGTCTTTAAGGACTGTGCTGGCCCAAGGTTCAGTCCTGTTCATCATCCAGGTGGGGAAAGTAGGCAGAAAAGCAAAGCTGCCAAGGGTGGGAGGAAGACCACCCAGCTGTGACCACATCAAAAACACAGAGGACAGGCCTGGGGCAGCAGCACAGACCATAGCAGGGTCACATTGGCAGAGATGACACTTGTGCTGCCCCCAGACAGACCACTGCCCTGGTCTCTCTTCTGCTTCCATTCTCTCTCTGGCTGACTGTTCCATGTCCAAACCTGGGAAAGTGCCAATGTTCCTTCCCTGTTCCCTCCACAGTGTTGTCCCTCCTGCCAGCTCCTAGGGCCCCTTGGAACCCTGGGTAGAGGACATCTGTTTCCCTCTCCACAGGGGGCTCCCCAGAGACAGAGCCTCAGGACAGAACAGTGTCTGGAGCAACAGGACAGTCACTGTCAGGACGAGGTGCATGTGGTGGCTGTCCCAGGTGTCTAGAAAGAGGTGGGCATAGGATGGGAGGTGTTTCTGGACCTGGACGGTCATGGCTGGACAGTGCCTGGAACTGTGTGTTTCACCAAGGCTAAGATGACAAATATTTTATCTGAAAAACAAAAAGGGTTGGGATGTAGTACCTCAGTGGTAAAGTCCTCACCCCATACCACCAGACTCTGGGTTCCACCTCCAGTATTGTAAGACAAACAAGCAAAGACAAAAGGGGGTGGGTTAGCAGAGGGCATGGGACCTGTGGTATATAAGTGCCCTGCCTGACTCTTGATGGAGGGTGGGGTCTTCAGGGTTTTAGAAATCCTTTTCATTTCTCAACCAATGCCTGATTCCTAAAGCTTTGTCTCTGTAAAGAAATGAATGCAAAATTAAAGTTGAAAACTCAAGAGCCAACAGCACCTGCCTGGCAAGTACAAGGTGCAGAGTTCAGTTCCTGGTATATGAGAGAGAGAGAGAGAGAGAGAGAGAGAGAGAGAGAGATTGAGATTGACAGACAGACAGACAGACAGACAGACAGACAGACAGACAGACAGAAACTAAGTTCAAGAGCCAGAGCTGGGGCTTCCATTTAAAGGTCCAAGGCTTGAACAATTTATCTTTGGGCCGGGGCAGCAGCCACAGGATTTGGGAGAGACTCCACTGCTTAATCTTCACACTCAGCCCACCTAGCTGACTGACCCGGCACAGCTTTGGACAAGTTGGGGGCAGGGGGCAGCCAGTGGGGCAGAGTGGACACCCAGCGGTGCCTGCACCTGGCTGCTTTGCAATCATAGTGCCTTGCGGTGGGGGCATCTCCAGCAGGAACAGCCTCTCTCCAGCCCCCTACCTTGGGAGTCCCCAGTCCTCCAGGGCAGAGCCAAGGACCACAGGTCCCAGTACTGCCTGGGCTTCATTCAGCATCTATCACCTGCTGTATCTGGGGGCACGGGTCCCCATAGTGCCACAGTTGAGGGTCAGGAGGTAGACAAGCTGAGCTGTGGCATGTGTGTCCTTCCAGGGGACTATCCACAGTACACACCTCAGATACTCCCATGGGCCCAACAGGAATAGGTGCCAAAGTCAGAGCTTCCATTTGAGGCTAGGAGACAGCAGGGATGTGGTCTGTGAGTGTGTGGGCCTGGGACAGTGACCAGTGGTGGGTATGGGGAAGGGGAGATGGAAGAGATGCAGAATGCAGAGCCAGGATGGTATGTGGAGTTCTTCAGAGCTCCAGGCCTGGGAGGGACCCAAAGGTGAAATGCAGCTTGCAGGGGGAGCCTGCACCTGTGCACCCACTGCCCAGCCCAACACCTCCACCAATGACAGCGCAGAGAGGGCACAGCCGTGGCTCACCCAAGGTCAGGCCTCCAAAGGGGGCACTCTCAGAACGGGTCACCAGCCTGCTGGCACATGGGTGCAGGGCAGGAGAACAGGAGGTGCTGCAGCGTCACCCCCAGGCCACCAGGCTCTGCTCATCACCAATGTCCCAGCCCCAGCACACTTGCCCCAGCAAGCACATCTACACCCACAGCAGGACTCTGGGCATGGAATCGAGGATGATGCTGAATGACTCTGTGACAAAGCATCAAGCCCCTTCCTGCACAGCACAAACACCACCCTTGGGGGGCTGCCACCAGCTTGCTGCTCCCGCCCCAACTCCTGGCACCAGGTCCCTGTGGGCAGCCTGACCCAAGCTCCTGGCAGAGGTGGGTGCTGCTGAAGCCAAGGAGGAGATTTATGGGCCCTGTCTGGCTGCGAGCTGGTCTCCAGCCCACAGGCACTGTTCCCAGCCTCAGCCCTGCCTGCCCAGACTATGAGGCTACTAAGGGCCTGTGGGGCCTGGTCAGGGCAGTTATGATTTCTATCCTTTTACAGAGGTGTGAAACCCTCATCACAATTGAGTTTTAGAACACTGCTACATGGAATTTTCCAAAGAAACAGAACCCAGAAGTTATGCATAGAAATAATAGGGTTTTTGTTTGTTTTTTAAATAGCATTTCACTGTGTAGTTCAGGCTGGCTTTGAACTTGCAGCAACTCTCCTGCCTGAGCCTCCCAGATGCTAGGATTACAGGTGTGTGCCAAAGCCTGGCACAATAGATATTTTAAAGTCTTTTATTTATTTAGTACAGGGTCTCACTACACAGCTCAGACTTGTAGTGATCTTCCTGTCTCATCCTCCCAGCACTGGGATCACAGGCATGTGCCACCATACCCGGTCTCAGTGGCTGGTACAGTGCACCCAGGGTTCCAGGCCGGCATAGCATGCAGTACCAAGGCTCAAACCTGGGTTCTTGGCTTGTCAGGGATTTGCTTAGGCTGCCAAGCTATCTCCCCAGTCCCACAATACATGATTTTTAAAAGGAATTGTCTCATGTGATTGTGGGGCTGGCTGGAGACTCAGGCAGAGTTAACATTACACCTGAAAGAAAAATTTCTTCTTCCTGGAATTTTATTCTTTTTTAAAAAAATTAAAGTTATTTATCTATTTAGTACAGGGTGTTGCTATGCAGTTCAGACTCATGGTGATTTTCCTGTCTCAGCCTCCCCAGTGCCAGCACAGCATGCAGTACCAGGGATTGAACCCAGGTCCCGCGCTTGCCAGGCAGGCACTTAGGCTGCTGAGGTATCTCTCCAGCCCCTGGAATTTTATTCTTGGGGTCCTCAACTGGTGGGTGAGGCTACCCTCAACTTCTGCAGATCATTGTTGCATAAAGACTGTGGGAATGGATCTGCACCCACCCACAAAGCCTTCACACAGCACAAAGGCCTGCTACCCCAGCCCAGGGACACATGAGCTGTGTCCTCCTGTGGATCAGCTGGTCCACATCCACACCGAAGGCTCCACTGAGGGCCTCTCCAAAGCGGGGCACTTCCAGAGCCACTCCCATCTCTGTCCTTTCCCTGGTCATCACCTGTGGTGTGGAGGCAGATCTGGTTTGCTCGCATCTCTCCCACGTGGGCTGCTGATGTGAGGAAGTGGTGCAGGTGAGCAGGAATGGACATTGTCAGTTCTGGGGCAGAAGCTGAGGAGTGGGGCTGCTGGCTGTGGTGTCAGTTTCCCAGCACTAAAGCATACCAGTGCTTATTTTGAGACAGGGTCTGCCTAGGTCACTCAGGCTGGGCTTGAACCTGACATCCTCCCTGCCCCAGCCTCTCCGAGTGCTCGGATCACAGGCATACGCACCACACCCATCTAGGTGTAGGTCTTTGAGGAACACCATTCTGCTTCCCAAGCCAACTACACCACTCCTGCTCCTTCAAGGGTCCGGGAGGGCTTGTCCCCTTAGTCCCCACATGTGTTCTTTTGTACATGCTGCTTTCTTCGAGAGGTGGCCATGCTGGCAGGCAGAGATTAATACCAGGCTGCTCTGTGGCACAGCAACCAGCCCGAGCCTGCACCTGCTCAACTTGGCCACGGTGCTGTCCTGATCCAGCACCAGCCCCCCAGGGGTCAGTCCCAGGACAGTGACACGTACCACACAAAGCATCACAGGACACTCAACACACAGATCACATATGCCAAACACACAACCCATACCTCAGACATATAAGAAATACATAGGACACGTACCACACACAATCCCCACACATGCTACATGCACACACTCCCAAGCACACCACACACACACACCACATCCCACCATACCACACACAACTTAGGTACACACACCCTACACCCACACACAGCAAACACAAACATGTCACACACACACACACATACACACAAAAACACATCATACTCACCACATGCACAGTATACACTACACATACACACCCTACCACACTTGCCTTCCTCCCAACTGTCCTTGAAGTACCTTCCTGAGAGGTGACCCATTGGCTCTCCCTGCATAGCAAGTGCAGCCTATGTGGTGACATCCTGCAGCACAACCTTCTACAAGATGGGCCAGTGCTGCAATAGGTCATCTTGACTCCATCCTCCCCCACTACCCCTTCCCCTGGCCCCAGGAGCAGTGGCTGTGTGTCTGTGACCTGGCTGGTCTTGACTGCAGAGGCTACCTTGCCAGTGCACAGTACAGGGCTCTTCTGACATCCTGAGCACAGCGGTGGAGCTGCACTGCAGAACCCTGCTTGACCTGATCCTCTCAGCCTCTGGGGTCCTCCCCTCCAGGGACCTTGGAGTGCAGGGACAGTATCCTCCTGGGTGTGGTGATATTGTCTTCCTGTCCTCCAGGGCTTTCAGGGACCCTGTTTTAAATGATGAAGATCACATGTGCTTGCAGTGAGCTCAGACAAGCAGACAAACCCAGGCAGCCAGTGGTGGTGTGTTGTTGTATGTTTCGAGTGTCTCTGGGATGCAGGATTATCACAGTCATCACCAGACCAGCATCCTGGGTTGTCGGAGACAGCTGCTGGTCCCTGGAGCCTCGGAAAAATGAGGCAAGCCGATGGATGGAGCCCTGGGCTGACCAGGCCACCTCAGTGGAAGGAGCTTCAAGGATGGCAGCCACAGTGTCTTCCAGACCTCTGAGGCTCTGGTAACAGAGAGGAGGGAGCCTCGGGGCCCTGGCCTATCTTCCTGGACACTCAGAGCAACCCCATTACCCATGAATGGACTTGCTGCCTTCCAATTGAGGTGTCAACTGCTCACCCCACCACTGCCATGTGTGCTATGAACCTTCTTTGACCCTTTGCCTCCCCCAGTCTTGGTCCATCTACCACTTTCCAGACTTCAGACACACCACATCAGAGCCCAAAGGCAGTGAGGACAGCTTCGAGGAAGCCTGTGGGGCCCAGACCACACCACCTCAGAGGACCCACGAACACTTGGTCCTAGACACCAGTCCTTCTGAGCTCAGCCCCCCATACCTGGAGACACAGATAGCGGGCCCAAGGCTCCCTGACCTGTGTCTCAGCTTGTAGGATCTGTGTCTCAACACCAAGCCTGGAACCTTTGTTGGCCTAGAGCAATGGCCTAGAGCATGACCCAAACCTCCCACCCTCAGGACCCAGTAAGACTGAACACCAGGTTCCTGCCCACATGGCCCCTACCAGGCTGACTGGAAACCAGGGATTGTGAGGGTCAGCTGCTGCTCCACAGGGTGGTCACTGCATCCCCAAGTCAAAGTGAAACACAGGTTACATTTGATACATGAATGTCATATATAAAATCACAAAAGAATGAAGAAAGATAGGTGGATTCATTTGTAAAACAAAGAAAAGAACGGCTATGAATGGGGCTGGAGAGATGGCTCAGTGGTCTAAAGCACCTACTTGGAACAAGCTTGGCAAAGCACAGGGACCGCGGTTCAATCCCCCA